CATGATGGTTGTAGTGGCCGTCTCGTGTGACGTTTGAACGAAATGTGTCCTAATAACCTCCCTTACTATGAGTGGGGTTAAGCATGGTTTCAGAAATTATACTTTTGTTCGGTAAGGCCGTTGAAATATTTTTGGTATTCGGTTTACAACCAGAAGGTTTTGTATTTACTTTCTTCTTAATTGGTATATTCTTTTTAGTTTTGGAAGTTTTTTTAGGAGCGTTCACAATAGAATTAGGTGTTTGATCGCAGGCTTCGGATATTACGCTAGAAATAATGACATTAGTGTCTCCATCAGATATGTCCTGGTTATCTAGGGCCGCTAGGAGTATTAGAGGCGAACTAGAACACTGCATTGGTATATCAGTTCACTGACTATCATGAGATAGATTAGCTCCACCAGTGGGTTCAGCTGCTGGCGCGATCACATTTGTTGTGACCTCAACAATGTTATTTTTGTTCGTGGTACGCTTTTGCGTTAACCTTTGGTTGGTGGTTTTGTTTGAGACTATACGAGCGTTTTTAAACTTCGTAAGCGCACAGACTTGCTGTTCAGATCCTTTCAACCGCTCCGCTAATAAATGGGAATCGAATCTAAACAGGATAGGGCATCAGTATTTTTGATGCTTTTTATTAGGTCGGATACATTGGAATGGACTTTCTTGGAGATTCGCTACCTTTAATATCAAATTCCTAACAGTTTTAATGACAACTTTATCCGGTATATTATATATAATCACATTATTTCGAGAGACTGTTCGCTAAGTGACTTCATTAGCTATCAAGTCAATAACGGATTCTACTTTGATCCTGTCTTCGAGTTCTGAAGGAACTACATCCTTTGACAACAGCAGTCTAAGGAGTGACAGTGTCTTTAGTTCTAGTTTAAGATCATCATGCTTTAATAAAGAGCCCGCAAGTGACTCCACTTTAGAACGCATCTCACTTAATTGCTTATAGACAGTGGCTAATTCACTCTTAATATGATCGATACCTTCAGTTCGTCAGTTAGAACTCATTATTAAGTTTGACATAGAGTCATCAAGCAACAGGTGTGGAACACGTCCACTCCCACTATTATCTGGTGCAACAGGAGTTGCAGAGCATGGGGTATATGTATTATTAGAGCTGTTATTATCTGGAGAAATAGGGCTTTTCCGAGCTCGTTTTTGTGTCAGTCGAACCATATTTCTTCAAGGGTTAATTTAAATGTTATTATTGAGTTATAAACTAGGGTTTAACGATTTATAAACACTTTATAAAAAAATACCGTGTGAGCGTAACGCAAACTGTGTTTCACGCAAACTTACTGTTACTGAACAAGGTTATTCACAAACTCAGCGAAAATCACTAGCTGTGTTTTGGGTTGTTAAAAGTCTTCATAAATATTTATTTGGAAAGAAGTTTACTATTGCTACTGATCATGAAGCTTTAAAGTTCATTTATCATCCTGAAAAATTTCGAGTACGTTCCTCAGCTGCTATGGTTCAACGATGGTGTATTGCTTTGGGTGCTCATGACTATACTGTTCAGCATAGGAGTGCAAAACGAGTTCGACTCGTTGACTACATTTCTCGACAATCATTACAAGATAGACCTTTTAATACTTCAGACTGTTTGTTAGTCCAAACTTTACCAGTGAGACGTCCAGATCACATTAGAGATACTCGTAGATACTTTTATGCATACTCAGTGCTATACGGAAAGGTTGGAATGCTAATCTGAAATGTAGATTTCCTGTGTATTATTCAAAGCAGGATGAGTTGTCTACTACTCCTGATGGTATTTTGTGTCTAAATGATCGTGCTGTCATTCCTCCATCATTATGCAAATCTGTCCTTGAAGTTCTTCATAATGGCACCTAGGTGTTGAGAAAATGAAGTCCTTGGAAAGGCTCACATGTTGGTGGCCAGAGATAAATGCAGATATATGTCGTACAGCACACAATTGTGAAAAAGAATCATAAGTTGAAAAGTCCGCCTTCGAAGTGAACTCCATGGCTAGTATCGTCCGAGGCCTGGCATAGAATTCATGCAGACTATTGTGGTCCATTTCAAGACACATACTATGCGTTCGTAGTGATTGATTCTTTTTCTAAATGACCTGAAGTTTTTTTCACAACTTCACCAAATTCTGACTTCACAATCCAAGCATTAAGGAAGGTGTTTAGTCGAGAAGGGGTTCCCATGGTTGTTATGACTTTATGAAAAAAAGTAGGACGTATCGAATTCGTTGCGATTTTATGTCCAGCTTCTATCACGTGAATTATCCACCGAACGAAATACGACTTGTCTAATCTTAATACTGTACTAAATCAATGATGTACAACTGGTATGAGCAATCTAGCGTCTTTATTGGTTTCTTGTCCGCCTAGCCATTCCAATTGAGTCCGGAACACCAATTACAGCTTCAGCTATGCGAATCGTCTACTTCAAGCGTACTCGGTTTATATACCAGACAGACAGACCACATCACACCATAAATTAGAAAATAATATTTGTACAAGATCAAGCCAAATGTGGCCTTGAACGTGGGATACAGTATTCAATAAACTGAATATAATTTAGGAACCGTAATTCGTATAATAATTCATGGGTCAAAATGAAGCTTGTAGTAAGATGAATATAGATATTTACAATCTAGTTACTCAATAAGAATATATATGGAATAATCGTCCATTAACGGCTCTCCGAAGTTACCTGTACTTACATCTTCACTAGGATATAACAATGGTGCTAGTGGCTGATAATGTCTCTCATTTCGCTGAGGATGTAGTCACTAACTGGGCAAATGGTATAGGGTGCAAACATTTGTTTACTGCTTCCAGAAACCCTTGTTCTAATGATCAGGCAGAAAATGTCGTCAGGACATTGAAAATCGCTTCAACCTTTAATCAACTGGAGAAAAGAGTGGATAAATTTCTACTTTATTATAGACATGCGAAACACTATGTGACGAAAGAGACTCCATCAAAGCTATTAAAAGGAAGAATTCCACGTTCGAATGTAAGGTGTTTGTAGTCTGCAGAAGTTACATATTATCGTGATAATGATCTTCGACTAGCCACGGAAATTGTGGAGAGTATATGTAACCGATGTGTTAATCAAACAAAATTCCAGGACCCATGGTCAGTCTGTTTCAATTGCTGTTGTTAATTCTAATACTAACGAGTGGATTCTCGATAATACAGAGTCTACATCCAATACACTGTCGGACGGAAGTAAGATGAACTTAATAAGAAAACGTACAATCGGATACAGACACTTAGACTCCAATTTACTCTGTGGCGGATGTGGTGTTCGTATGAACCAATGATTGTTTGTCTACCAATTTCCTTGAAGCAATCTCCTTCCATTCCGATAACGATTAACATTCAGTCTACTCTATTCAGACTTTGGTGTTTGTGTGAACTAATGATTGTATGGTACTTGATTCCTGATTGATTACGAATTCTAAATACAATACGTTAGTTCGTGCTCACCCAATTCTATTTGGTTTGAATTGTAATATTCCTGAGATTTCGGAAATTCCTTTTCAGTACAACAATTCAAACACTTCCAATCATATTATTCCAGCAACCAACCGATCACAGTGTTCAATTTCCAAACTATTATCAAAATTGAGCTTCATAGCCCGTTCCTGTAATTGAAGTATGAAGTGTCCAAGTGTTTAGTCATTCAATAACACCAAATTAGGAAACTTCTATATCTCTTTATACAAATCTGGTGCGCTGTACATGACTGAATGGAAATCCATTTTTGAATTTCACAATGGAATTGGTTTTTTCTTATGAACACAGATTCTTGAACAAATCAGACACACCTTCACATATGGGTATCAGGAAATAGGCTGAGACTTTAACATTTTAATATCTTTTCTGGTCATGCACCAGATTACAAATCGTTACGTTCAGTCTTTAAAGCACCCCTCACAAGAATTAATTTCCTAGTATCCACGATCTCATTCTAATAAGATACCTGTGCGATAAAGAAGACTGGAATTCTGTATCGATTGGAGGCGTTTTTATATTTCAGTATTAAACTCAATGAGAACACATTGTGTGGACAACAAGGACTAATGTATTTGGAATTCTTACTGACCGTGAATCATGAACAGCAGAAACCAGTTTGTGCGAACATCACATACATCCTCGTTTTATCTGTCTTCGTAAACATAGGATTTACGAGAAAAAGCGAAAAGTGCCCGTAAGCCTGGAACAAACTACTTTTCAGATGACTGTCGAATTTCTCATTGGATAATAAACCAGTGACTGCTTACCTTATTTTCCTGCGTTTCTCAAACTGGAACCATAACGTATTGCCTAGTCTTGCATACGGAAGTGTATAAGGATTTAATATATATAGTCGAAAGCTAGACAACCATGGAAAATCTGGAAGCACTGAATGACCGTTTCGTTCTATTGTGGGACTCCTCATCAGTGCACACCCACGATCCCGCCTCGCGACACTTGAACCCTAGGACCGATTAGTCCCGCGCGCGAGCGCTTGACCACTTACATCTGAGGAGTCCCACAATAAGAGGAAACGGCCGACCAGTGCTTCCAGGTTTTCCATGGTGGTGTAACTTCAATCGACTCATGATTTCAACCATATAAAATTACTAAAATCTCCACAAAACCCTTTTTTAATAATGATTAAGTATATATTGAAACCTACTACCTACTGACAGACAGAGACACCCTTACGCTACTTCAAAATGATTTGAAATATTTTATAACATCATGCTAGTTTTCCGAAGTGAAGATGCACCAGACTTTGAAACCCTACTTTACGCGTTGCACGAATCGCACTACTTCCAAAGATCATAACTGTAGAAGTGTTTTGTCTTCCATAACATTGCCTACCGAAGTTCGAGTTAAAACTTTCAGCTACTATAAACTTTTTATTTACTATGAAAACGTCATGTATCACGGAACAATAGATGGTATAGAAACAGTGAACATATTTTGGAGCGTCTGAGTTGTTTGTTCACTTCGGCGAAATGTATACTGGTGACCTTGGTTGGCCAGAGAATTTGTGCAGTTTTGGAGTTATGAAGTGCTTTAGTAGTGACGGTGAGTTCGAAGAACATGACGGACAGGAAATAAATACAGAGTATCTTGAGAAATTCACAAAAATGGTAAGGTTATGAGAAATGAAATATACACAATTCGCAGGTCCAAAATGCGTCAATATTGGCAAACAGGTTGTCATCAAAAGAACTTCTGTCAGCATTCCAAATTTCATTTCATCTAATGGAAAAAATCAGTTATGTAATACTTAGCATGTGCAAATCTTCCAAAGAAGAAATCGATGAACTCAAAAGCTTTCGGACGGCTTGGAAGTATCCATCTTACCCACGTTGCATGATAAAAAACGATTCCCCCATGGGCGTTTGCTCTATGAAAACTCAATCTTTAAATGAAGTGAGTTCAATCGTTTATACAGGTTGAGTTTACGAACTTAAATTTGAAATCGACTGTGGTTTAATATTAAAATGGGAAATAAATCTCTGGGTCTCTTGGGGGTGTTTTCACTTAAGTAACTTACAGGTCTGTACGCAAATCTCATCTTTGCATCTTACACACCTATCGTCTTGTTTATTCGAAGCCTAAGGTTTTGTTGCAAACCATTTCTTGTTTAATTGAGGAGAGATTAATAATTTCGGTGAAAGTTTTAAAGCCGAAATATCTAGTTGCTTTTTAACTCTTTGGTTGCCTTTTATTGATGGGTCTTACAGGATGTTGGAGTTAGGAACATTTTTGATTCGAATATAATGGGTGTCTATAATCTAAAGAGTTGAAGGGCTTTTCATACTATGACTTCTGAAGACGGGTATTATGGCTTGTAATATAATATTGTCTTACCCTTCACCATATATATTAAGTATGATCTTATACAGCCAGTTCAGTTGAAAAGAAAGTTTTACCGTTCTCTCCCAATAGTTCACCAACATAGATGACTAAAGCTAAAAGAGGTAACTAATTAAGATTTATTTGAGCATAACAGAAGATAAGAGTAAAGTGACCAAAGTGGCTGGGAGAGAAGAATGTGTAGACGACTCATTGTAGCACTACGAAACCTATCTTATGACTTGAGTGATATCATTACACCTAAGGCGGGTTTTTTTAAGTATAAAATATTGATCTCACTAGGATATTTTTATTTGAGGTAGTTATTTATAATGTGATTTAAAATCAATTTATCTGCATAGTTAGTGCCATTTAGTGGTCATGCCTGTCTTCTAAAAGTTTGCATCCAGCGCGAAGCTGCACTCTATTATTAAAATGAGTATTCATGTATCTCATTGGACTAAAAAATCCTCTAATATATCAATCTAACGTATACCTTTAATTTAAAATCAAGATAAAAGTTGAAAATTAAGCAGCCTTCATTTTTATGACACCTATGTTGATTAGAATGATACTTAATAGCTCATTCTTTTGACGATTTACTGATGTTATCCATGACTAAGAACTTTTGGCAGATATAAGTCTTATTTTTCAATACTCCTTGTTGTTTTATACTATTGGTCATCATTTTTTACTTAATGTTTGGCGATGTTTCGAGACCTTAGTTGCGAAATTCTTCAGTCATCTGTGGGCGCCTGACAATAATGCTCATGTTCGAACCGAGTTCAAACTAGGTTATATTCATAAACTGGTGTGTGAGACCTAGATTTTTAGGCTTCTGAGATAAATCTAAAGGTTAACTTCTTATATTAACTGTGATAACTTCATCGTCCAAAATGAGAAAAATTAGTAGAAAAACTATTTGAAAACAGTTTTATGGTCTAAAGCTAGTTTTTGTTCTTCAAAATATCAGCACGTATAAAAAGTACTCTTTGATCCAATAAAATATCTTTGTTTAACTGAATAGACGTTCAATTCTAGATTTTTAGAAAGTAACTTTGGTATTTCCTGCCTTTAAATTTTTAGCTATTTAGGATTTGAAATTATAATTAAAATATGACCAATTGTGCTTGTTATTGTACTAACATTTACTAGGCATTTTAAAGGCGAAGATTGTTGATTATATTGAAACTCTGATGTTTCAAAACAACTTACCTTTTGTGGAGCCAAAGTGCGTAGCTTGTAGTTCCAGAGTTTATTTCATGTATGTATGAAGTTGCACTTATCTTAATGATATTCTAGCGAATCTTTTGATACACGTAATCCTGCTTCATGTACGATCCCTGTGGGATATCTAAATGCATACTAACGTTTTATTGTGTCTCGCACCATTTCACTTTGTACTACCGTGTGGTATTAAAGTATAGTTACTGAAGTACAACTCTTTTAATAGTTACAAAGATTTAATCATAGATTTTTCTACCCTAGTGCGTGTTATCGGTAGTTGAACTTCCGTCTTCATAATGTTAAAGCTAAGCGCAGCATTTTCTTAAACAAAGTCAATCACTGAAATAGTTAACACAATCATATTCTGAAAAAAATGCGATAGCTGTCTCTCACTTTGTTTTCGTTGAAGCATATTCCATAATTTATCGTTTTTAAATACACCTTAGGATGCGAAACAGTTGATGCTTCCACTGTTGTTAGAGAAAAAAAGACAAACTAAGAAGCTTTGAATTTTCAGTGATATGTGCATACCTTTTATGTCACTATATCCTATATCCAATCGTACTTGTTGTCCAAATTTATAAATACTTTTTGATGAGAAATATTACATTTATTACATTTTTATTTGGTCTGTATGTAATATGATCTTTTGTTATTTCCTCTGATTAGAATGGTGATTGTGAAGTAATCGATCAACAAGAATCACAACTTAAAGTGCTCATCGAAGAAGAAGAAGAGGAAGAAAGCGATGAAAATCTATGTGATTCTGGCATTGCTTCAAATCGTGATGTAAATTTCATTACTGAATCTACTATTTCTAATTCTTCTTGTCAAAAACTTAGTCCAGTAAATGAAAATCATAGCCCAAACAATTATTCAAGTAAATGTCTTTCTTCTCCATTCACAAATGAATCCAGTGTAATTGATATAGATGAAAATTGTTCTATGATTGCTGATAAATGCGCCAATGTAGAAGTACTAGTAGTAGTACCTGGGACAACAACATCTGAAATGTTCGATAATGACAGTAAACAAATTAATATGACAGAAAATATTTCTAAAATTCAGTTAAAAAATCGAATTTCAACCATTCGAAAAACTAATTCAACTAACAACGATAAAAAATTTGAAAATGGATCTATATCTTCGGATATTTTAGATCAGCCTAATAACAATTCTACAGAACTATATGAAAGTCAAACAACAATACTGACAAATAAATTTCAAGTCGATGCAAAACGATGGCGTTTAACTAGTGCTGATAAATTAAATACTCTAATTGATGAATGTGAACGTCAAATTAATGGTAGAAAATTATATGTTTGTAAATTTTGTGGAAAAATCTATGAAATTAAAAGTAGTATGCGTTATCACATGAAAATTATTCATTTACAAATGCATCTACGTACTACGGAAATGCAATGTCGCATATGCGGTAAACAATTCACATGTGTTAGTGCTGTAAATCGTCATCAATCCAAGTGTATTTTATCAACAATTAGTGATTCAAGATTTAAAAATAATACCATCTCATCTAATCAGTCATTATTTACTAGTCCAATAATGACCACTATAACAACAACATCGTCTTCTACAGATAGTGATATGCATCCTCGTTTATCTGTAAATTCATTTACTTCACAAACGTCGGATAGTTATAATAATAGTTTAAATCACAACACATCACTTACTGATTCAGATCTAATGATGGAGTCATTGAGCTCAGCTTCAAAAAACTTTACCAATCTTGTTCACTTTCCAAGTGCATTTCGTATACCAGATATATGTTGTACAACAACACAATTTATGAATCAGTCAATACCTAAAATCTACCAAAATTCACAAATAAGAAGTTTAAATTCACGGAATTTTATTCCATCATCTGATTTAGTTAATTTACCAAATATATCTAATTCTGATAGTTTACCTTTCCAACCATTTAATAGTAGTAATGATACACGATCACTTTTAAATTCAGTAAATAATCATTCTATGAATTGCTCTTATTCTTCATCACAATGGAATTCATCAACTTGGTCTACGATGTCTAATTTAGGATGTAATTTTACTGCATTGACTCCTGCACAAATTGATATTTGCATGAAAGCAGTTGTTCAAGGTATTTGTTCAACTGTAGGACAATGTACCACTACTACTAATAATAATGACAATGATACTAATCGTAGTAGTAATAATAATAACGTGAGTAGTTATAGAACTAATCAAGAATCTAATGAATATAATCATGTGCCAACTGATTCATATCAAATAATGGATGAAACACAATGGAAGTTACCAAATAAAAATTTATCAGATTTTTCTGAAACAACAGAAAGAACTTTAAGTTCTTCACATGCCAATGATATGGTAGCTATAGATTTATCTTCACGTCCTCAGTCGGCTTCATTGATTATTGAATCATTTTAAGTAAATGGACTAGACTAGAATATATAGAAAATAAGTTGACTTCCGTGATCAGAATTATTGTGTTATTTATCTATAAAATGCACATCAACATAACAGACAATCTGTTAATTTCTTCAAAATTAACATTGAAATAGGTTTTAAATAATTATGATAAAATTATTAATAATTAAAAAGTAAAAAGCATTTATTATTTGCTCTGTGGAATAATATCTCACCAAGTGACCTCCTGATCATATACACCTACGTACATGCATAACATCCATTTCGTTTTTTATGTTATCAAGTGCCTTAATCTTTCTTCCACTCTTTCTGTTTACGTTGCTATTCGCATAATAAAGTGCCTTTAGCTTGAAATTAATCCTTAACCTTTTTCACAGATAGAGATACCTATAAACTTTCTCATACGATAATTATAGTTACTGAAAATGTTTTTATTTCCTACCAATAAACAAGTATATGCCTATTTATTATTATTACTAATATTTTGTTCTATTTATTTCATTTACTCGTTCAACAGTTTATCGATTCCCATGTCTTCATCGTCATTACGTTTGTCCTCGTCTACCCTTAAACCTCTTCTCCTAATCCAAACAACTATTGGTCACTGAACGACAGCAATACTGGTCTCTAGTCGTTCCGCTTCATTTTGTTTGATTTCCAAGTTTATATATATATATATATATATATATATATATATATATATATATCATTACCTACCGTTTTACGTCACTTTTTCCCCTCGTTTCTCGAGTAATTTCGTTTGTTCGGTTGAACATTTGTGTATATTTTTATTGTTACTACTATCGACTACAATCAGTATATATATATATATGTACGAACTTACTAAAGTAAAAAGTGGAACAAATTTTCTACATATACATATTTATTTACTTATCTACTTTACCTTGGGTTCTTCAATTGTTTTTCTCGTGCTGTTATATTTATAGGTTTTCTATTCATTTTATTAATTGAGAGTTTTTGGAAAATTACGTTTGTTTTTATGTCATGTTTCTCTTGTATTTTGTCTATCACACTTGTATGCAGTTTTCGTAAAACGCATTAGAACATCATATTCTACATTCGGTTAGCTTATCTATACCAGCTATAATCAGAATAAGGGCCTATGCATAAATGTTCGTTAGCTTAAATCTTCATTCTTATATTAACAGAAAGCAAATGAAAAGTATAATAATGTGATGCTAATGAAAATGGTATTGATTAAATATTAAGAATATGGTTTGAGATGGAAATAAAAAGCTTGCAATTGTGTAAGTATATTGAGACTCAAAGTTTAAAGTAAGATGAGCATATGCATCTGGGACATTAATCCATTCAAAGACAAGTTATCCAGAGAGATGAAAAACCCGTCTACTAGTGGCATGGATGGCCTCAAGCGATTATTCCTTGAATACTGCAGTTAACTCCAGAAGTCGTGAAGGCTACCTTTAGCCTAGTTTTCTATTCAGGTATCAAAAGAAGTAAGTCTCCATGGTGTAGGAAACTGAGCAGTGGCGACTGCCCTCATGGCATGTGTAACAAGTTATAACTTGGAATCAGCCACTTGATTGCTGTGTTGTATCAAATTAACATTTTTTAAATTAATTTTATTACTCACTGAAATGTCAAAGTAGAATTTAATAATCCTCTTATTTAGGGATCTTTTAATTCATTATCTATATGTTTTTATCAGTTTAAGGAGATCGTGGAGACTACTCAGTTTCGTAGTTTCAATCATAAACTAACCTTAGTCAGACAATAATTGAGAACCAGGAAATGCTGGGCGGCGGTCTCATCCTAGTATGTGACTCCGCGGTAGTCAACATCCACTATTGTAGTGAGGGTGGAAATTAGGACCTTTATGTTCTGGGACGAGTGCTTAACCTTAAAACCAACAAATTAACATCCAGTATTCGATGTCCCCGATTTGTTCAACTATTTCTCAATTCAATCAGTGTGTATCTGACTGACACTCAACATTGTCAAATTTTCTTGGTCATGGCTTATCACTAGAACTTTGGGAATTACCTATCAAAACCAGTCACTATTTCTGCCTCATGCATCAGTATTCAAACGTCTATTGAATTCTTTCACTTTGATGAGATATAACTTTTTAAAAAAAAGTGATAAAGTTTGTGTATTGATGTTGGTATTATAAAAGTATTACAAGTAATATAATGGGTTTTTGTCTTTCAAAACTGTTCTGTGGAACAAAATCGATAATCCCATACATTGAATATTAATCCCCAAACGTACACAACACACGTTAAAAAATTTTTCTGAACTTTAGCGTACATAGTTTCTTATATACCTTTAATCAATATCAAATATAAAGCTTAATTAACAGGGGACGTTTTCTTGACATTTCGAAATGATTGCAGTTAGAATGTTAGCAGCTATTTTGTGGTGCCATGTTATAAATGACTAGATTATCTATTTATATCAGTATTTTTATCGTTGTATTCAGATAAATTGGTCAGATTTAATTGATTGGGAACAGTTAACTCCAAACATGATGTAAAGGGAAACTATCTGCCGAAATACTTTGATAGAGGTATTCCCTGGAGTTCTAGTGAGAAGCAGTGACCAGCGGAGTTCAACCGGGTCTGTTGTGAGATAGTAACTCACTGAGAACAATAATGGACGGTTACTCAATTTCGTGGATTGGTTGAAGTTAGACATTAACACCGTTGGATGCCGGCTCAGTAGTCTATCGGTTAAGTGCTCTGGTGCGAAGCTGGTGGGTCCTGGGTTCGAATCTCGCGAGTGCGGGATCGTGGATGCGCACTGCTGAGGAGTCCCATAATAGGACGAAACGGCCGTCCAGTGCTTCCAGGTTTTCGATGGTGGTCTAGCTTCAATTGACTCATGATTTCAACTATATAACAACTAATATTAGTGCACTTGTTTCATCTTATATGAAATGCAGCGCTAGATAATGTTTAAATCAGTAGCTAAATTGTTCAAAACTGGTCAGTAAGATTTTACAGGTTTGTGATCACTAAGTTGTCTTTCTATTAACTTTTTAAAACACTCCTAACGAATATCTTGTGGGAATCGGTGTTTATAAATTTCAAATTTTAATTCAATAATATATTCAACCAGTTAATTGGAAAATAATTTTGCGATTTCTACTTAATAGTTGAAAATCAATTTCATGAGTAAAATTATTAAATAATTACTACAATTAATTAGGAATAATCGTAAAATCTCAGCGAATGAATTCGTCATAAATCCAACGTTTCACCTGACAATCTGGTCCAGATTTGCAAGAGCAGGGAATATGAAACAACCATATGATACAACGAAGAAACTAGCACGGAGATATAGTAAACCGGAGAGACCAGTCAAGGACAAAGAAGGAAAGACAATTATTGAGATTCAAGAACAATGGAAAAGATGGGCAGATTACTTCGAGGAACTGTTGAAGAGACCATCAAATATCTGGTTAACTACTGGTAATGCTATTTTGTCAGACAGTAAATCTCCTTGTATATCTTGCCGTAAAACGAGACGCAAATATATTAGAATACATAAGTAGAAGAAAACGAATAAAACCTTTACAATATGGCCTTAAGGACATGTTATGCTCTACATGGGTTGTAATATCTGACCTAATCTTTAACTAATATTCATGAAGATGTTAGTTAATCACAGTGGTGTAAATTCTTCCTTGCTTATTTACTTATACCGCTCCCATATGTATGTAAACCTATCTATTTTCTGTTTTGTAATGCAAGAACAGTGATAGAAACTTGTTGAGATATCGCATGCTGACAATCTTATATTTTTGACCAAAGCCAATTCTAATTGCTTATTTAGAAAGGGGCATTGAGCCTTCATAGATCTCTCTGAAAACTGTTTCATCATCAGAATTATGTGACTATGGAACAATAGAACTGTCTTGACGTTCGTACTGAAGATTCTCACTTTGATATTGGTTGACAGTTGACTTGAGTTCTATATGTTCTTTAACTGCAGGAATGCGGTCCTTACTTTGGCAGCCCATACCTTTACATATGCATCAGATCCTCCTTGTTCATCAATGGTGCTGTCCAGGTATGTGTAAGTTTTCTCTTCTTCCAGAGTTTCTCCACAAAGTGTGACTGGGTTAGTGTTTTCTGTGTTTTATTTGAAGATCTCGCTTTTTCCCTTGTGTATGTTGAGGTCTACTGTTGCAGAGACTGCTGCTACACTGGCTATCTTCACCTGCATATGTTGGTGTGTATGGGATAAGAAAGTTAGGTCGTCTGCAAAGTCCAAATCCTGTGGCTGCGTCCCAGTTGTCCAGTGTGTTCCATATTTGGAAACGACAGAGGAAAACTCTGCAACAGAAGGAAATACGAAATAACTATATGGCACAACGAAGAAACTGGCAGGAAAATATAGTAAACCAGAGATACCGGTCAAAGACATAGAATGTAAATCAATCACTGAGATTCATGAACAGAGAAACAGATGGGTAGAACACTTTGAGGAATACTTGAATAGGCCTGGTTCTCACGTCTTCCATTGACCTTCTGAATTTTTCAGTGATACAGACATGATCGATCTGGTTCTTTGTAGTGTGATCTGGTGAGACCTATGTAGCTTTGTGCATGAGTTTGTGGAGGAATAATGTGCCGCCTATAAACCGCTTAGTTGAATGTACATAGATTTGCAAATCTCTCACCATTTTCGTTCCTTTCTCCTAGTCTATGTCGTCCCATGATATTTTCATATCTGATGTTGTCCATTCCAACTTTGGCGTTGAGGTCCCGTATCAGGATGGTCAGGTCTTTTCCTGGGCACTTAGCTATATTTGATTGCAGTCTCTCATAGAACTGTTCTTTATCGTCATCTTTGCTATCATTGGTGGGTGAATAACATTAGATAACATTCATTGTGACCCCGTCCTTCTTTGTTTTGAATGATGCTTTGATAATTCTGGATCCATGAGATTCTTATCCTACAGTTGCATTTCGTGCCTCTTTGGACAGCATCAGAGCAACGCCCTTAGCGTGTGATGCATTTTGTTCTTCGTGACCAGAGTTCAGCAGCATCTCTCCCGAATCCAACCTTTTCTGTCTTACTTGGGTCCAATGGGTTTCGCTAATTCCAAGCACCGTTAAGTTGTATCGCCTCATTTTTAAAGCTATTTGAATAGTCCTCTCGGTTCCACCCCCCATCGTCTGGACATTCCATGTGCTTATATTAATTGTTGATGTGGTTGTTAGAAGGGGCACTCACCTCAAGACTTCCGAATGACTGCTTTTTATTATCATTAATGTGAAAGTTGTAAATGGAAACTCGTTGTCAATATTTGTTTGATATTCCAATATGAATGGAATTATTTCTGTATAGATTTGTAAATCTGGTGTTATTTTGACTTATCAAGTTGACTGTCGTAAGAAATCTATGAAATACAAGCCTGTTAGCATCTCGTTCACGTTTAATAAGTGACACCTTAAAATAATACACTACACATTTTGTTTTTTTTAATGAAGTACCTACAGACCCGGGTCTGTGTATACGTTACTGAAGGAAACAAAAGTTGCGCCCTTAGCTTTCTTACAACCTATTTCGACGTGTCACGGTGGTCGGCGGATGGACACACGTAATGCATATTCTAGCTATCTCTGCATAGTTGCGTATTCAAATACCCTATGATATGTGAGAGATGCTTCTAATACACTGATGGAGTACTAG